GGCCACCAGAGCTGAGAGTCTCCAACGATTTTATGGTGCAAGTGCATCCACTATAAGCAAATTGAGTATAATAAAAATAAAGACCTATGAGAAAAGAGAGTCTGATACTTCCAGAAATATCAATGATGTAAGTTTTATAATTCTACAAATACAAATTTTTCCTAAGATATATTAAATGTGATTTTATTTTCCCACATTCCAGGCAGTCATCCGTCCAAAGGAGCTGGTTCAAAGGGTGAGTCCAGTTCCAAGAAGTGGCAAGTTCACGAGAATAAAAAATTTAAATTCCAGTTTCTATAAAACCAGGGATGCAAGCTGGTAGCGTGCTTGCCTGGCATGCCCAAGAAAAAGAAATCCCTTCAGAAAACCACTTATGCATAAGGTCTACTGGAAAGCGAAAACACCGCACCTTGGTGTGGAGTGGACCTGAGTTACTTCAGACAAGGCCCAGTGGCACAAGCTCCCAGCCCTGGTCTCCTACCTGCCAGGGTCACCACCAGCAGCAGTGAAGCCAGTGAAACTGCAGGGGGCGCCATGCTGCAGCTCGCAGAGGGTGATGGCAGCCTTCAGAGGCAGCACCTCGGGTACAGCCAGATTGGCCTCTAGGTCTTCAAAGGGAAAACAGAAAAGAGACAGGAAGGAGAACAGAGTAGGTGAGAGTGCAAACAACAAAGCTGGCCCAAACACCCTCAGAGTCACATTCCAGGCAGCCATCCGTCCAGAGGAGCTGGTTCAAAGGGTGAGTACAGATCCAAGAAGCTTGCCTCAGTGGGCTGTGGAAATAGCAAAAACCCACCAAAGGAGAAGAGCCAAGCAATGAACTCAGACTTGTACGGCAAAGGACCAGGCCACCATCATCAAAGGACCTTGGCACACACTCAGATGCAGACGGGGACCAGGAAGGTTTTAAGGTGGAAAAAGGGGAACAGCTTCAGGTGTGCACTGCCTGGCAGCTGCTGGCATGACGTGCAAAAGCAGAGCACAGCTGCCTAGAAGTGCAGCATCCTGTGTGATGGAGCAGGGAACATGGATGGCTTTCTCAGGTCGGTCCTGAGTTGGAAGAAGATATAAAAAACAGGGAAGCTGTCAGTCACCGATCCAGTCCTGGCCATGTAGGATTAATTACTGCAGAAGTTATTGTTTAGCTTCCTGAGTTATTAGAGATAGCACTCTGGCTTCCTATAAGTCTTGCTGATAGCAGGCCACTTCCTGGGTGGCCAGTTTGTTGAGTTTATTGCTGCAGGTCATGGCTCAAGGTCCTACTTTTAGATATGGCCTGGCCGTTTTCCACTTGTGTATTCAGTATCTCACAGCCCAGACCTGTGAGATGATGACACAAACATACTGCTCCATTTTTTCAATTCCAGCATGTAAATGCTTTCTCATTTTGCCACCTCTGACCTCAGATGTCTTACAGCTGCAGTTGGCCAAGGGACAGGCAGGATTACATGCTGTGGCTTGTGTGTGAACATCAACCATGCAGAACAGGTGTCTGAGGCTTGGAAGAACATCTCCAAAACCACACGAAGGGGCTGGAGGTGTAGCTCAGTACAAGTTCTTAGCAAGTTCACAGCTCTGGGTTCCATTCCCAGCTGCAGCAGCAACAACAGCAAAAGCAGAGCATTCTTACACAGACAGCACTGTGCCCGCCCGGGCTCCTGCCAGCACCAAGCAGCTCTGTGTGACCAGCCATAGAAACTGAGGTGGGACAGAAGAAGTGAAAGGTGGGTAGGAAAGGTGCAAAAGAAGGACAGGAAATCTGATTTTAACGTGGAGGTCTGCATGCCTTCCCAGCCTCCGTCTCCCTAAGCCAGTTCCTCCCAGGCCTGTCACTCTCTGTGAAACTTGGAGGTAGTGGAGATTCACCCACCTACACAAGTCACCTCGTGCACAGGTAATAAAGACTAAGCGAGGAAAGGATTTTTAAAGAAAATCCTTCCAGTGTTATCTACTACTGAGTTAAACACTGACAGACGCCTGGGAAAGCTTGCCAGGAGATAAGAAGATCCTAGAGAATGCGGTTCAAAGAGAATGGACTCAGGTGGCTGGCCGCCTCCCTTTCCCCCAGCCTAGGAGAGGAGCTGAACAGCCTGACCCTGGCTGTAAAGTCAGGAGTGTCCTCCTGGAACATGTGCGGCAAGCCACCCGTCAGGGCCTGCGGCCTCTCCGGTGCAGCCCCTGCTTGTAGGCACAGGGAGGCCGTCCACTGAACCCCGCTGCCACCGCCAAGGTCTGAGTGATAAATGCCCAACCCTCTCCGCCGAGTCCTCCAAGCTCTTCTCTGGGAAGGGTCAACAAGGGCGTCTGCAGCCCTGGGGATGGACACCCACCCCTCAGGTAATGGGGACAGCCTGAGGATCCAGAGCACAGACACCATGAGCCCCCTTGACCACCAGACAGAGACCAGCTCCAGGCACCTCCTCACCCAACCCCTCTCTCCAAGCGAGAATCCCCAACCTTCTGCCGCTCTTCGCATGGTCCACGTTCTCCCTTCCATGTGTGTTCCTTGCTTTCCTACATGAATCTCTGTGTCTCCAGGCATCCTTGAATTCATTTCTGCAACACTTGTTAAGAACTCCACTCCTTGTGATTGAGGTCCCCCTTTGGAACTCCTGGGACTTCCTCCAGTAACTGAATTGATAAGATGT